GATTGTCAATTTTGATAATTGTGTTACAGGTAAGGTCATTTCATTCTTTAAGTGCTTGATGTCATCTGTTGAAAATTATTCTTGTTTTTCTCTTGATAGTTTAATCTTTGGTATGGTACTAGAAAATGTCTCGGTAATAAGCTCGGCTTTAGAGTAGAATTTGGCATCCGCAAAGTGAGATTTTTTTTGTTGAGAAAGGCTTGGTCTCAGCAACGACTTGTCTGACTTCTCCATCATGATAATATTTGAAGCATTGGTACAATGTTGATGGCAAAACTCCCGTCTCATGTAACCAAGACCGCCCTAATAGTAACTCATAAGATATTTTGGAGTCGATAACATGGAAAAGAGCAAAAGAACCTAATTCTCCGATCTCCTTCTTAAGACAAATCATACCAATGGCACATTGTCCCCGTTGATTAAAGCCTTGAATTGTTAGTTTACTTTTTGACAACTCGTTTATAGAGATTCTAAGTTGCTTCATGATGCGAATTTGCATGATGTTGACAATCGATCCACAATCGATCAAAATACGATATATTTTATAATCTCGAATAAACTATCTCACGTAGAGGGGTCTATTGTGGAGGAAAGATTTTAATTGCAAATCTTCATCAGTGAATGAAATCGTTGTCATGCAATCGGATTGACTAACTTGATCAACAACAGTTAAGATCTTCTTTTTGAATTTTTTCAGGTTGACCAAAGCTTGTACTGACATTTATCAGGTTTCTTTGGGTAATTCAAGTGCCTCAGGAAGACTTAGGTTTGATGAAATTTCTCTGAACCTTGCAATCATTTCTTCTTCATCTGTCGATACCTCTTTCTGAGCATTTTTTATATCTGAATATTTATTTAGTGTAGCCTCAGTTATGCATTTTTTTTCACAAGCACTGATCACATAAGATGTAATTGATTCTCTTGTAAATAATTGCTTGGTAAAATATTCCATAAATGTTACACGTGTGTAAGAACGTAACTTATAGTCTTCATCATCAATGGTTATCAACTGGGAAGATATTTCCATGACTTCGATTTCAGTGAGAATGAGGTCCTCTCTTTATTTTGGAGCGTTTTGGCTTATTAGTTAGAGGAGATGAATGTTGTAGCTTACGCACTCTCCAAAATTTCACCATAGTCCATTCTCCCAAATCTTCATTAGTAGCCACAAAATCATGCAAAGGACGCCACCCACGTGGTTTCAGATCCAAAATAAGTGCTCCTTGCATGAGCTCCGAGTCGCCCAGTAGATTAGATGACTGTGTGTTAGTAATTGAGGTTTGATATTTATCCTTTTTGCTGACAAAGGTTGACCAACCATCCTCGATCTCGTCTTCTGATTTCGATGATGATGCCCAAACATCTAGATCATCTGTCATGAGTTCATAAAGCGTTAGAATGCATATACCGTTTTTATCTGTCATGAGTTCTGTCATGAGTTCAAAAATGTTGGAACTTTTATGCCTCGACATACCTAAGTATGCATATACCGTTTTTATCTCATCATCAATAATTAACTGTATTTGCACAACTCCTTCAGGAAAAGGAACGATAAATTCTTTACTTTTGGCTGACGGTGTTTCTTCTGTAGAGATAGAAGAATTCAACGGTTGTGATGGTTCTTTAGGATGTATCGTAGATGATGATTGTGCTCCTTTGTTTGGAATTGGTATAGGGTCGAAGGACCCAAAAGTGACCATTGTCATATTTGCAGTTGTCATTTCTTCCCTAGAATCGAGTTCAATTTTTTTCTTGTTTAATAAATGAAGAATTTTTTTTAAGATAAAACATCTTTCAAGGGGATGACTAATAATCCGATGATATTTACAATATTTTGAATTATCAACCCTTCCCTATTCTTCTGCCCGCTTGGATGTTGGAAGCTCGATAAGTTTTAACTCGAGTAGCTGATCAAAAATCTGACACTTCATCATCAGTGAAGGAATATTTCTTCTCTTCAAGTTCTTTCAAACTTGGTCTTGTCTTCTTTTGAGTCTGATCTTGATTAAATTTGACTTGGAAGTCTGTCTTTGGCTTTTTATCAAAAATCTTCACCAGTGTAGTGAAGATTGCCAAAGACTCTTTTGATTTGGAGGCTTTTATATCTTTCTTCACGTCTTTCTATACGTCTCTCTTTTCACGAGGGTCGCTGAGAAAGTAACTTTCGTGCCTAAAAATTTGAATTTCCAAGTCATACGCTCGTATTGCAAGTTCTTCAAACGTATGTGGCATGTTTCCTTGGAGACTGTAGAGTAGTCCTCATTGCATTCCTTGGACACACATATCAATCGAAGAGGCTTCATTAATGCGTTCTTTGTAATTGAGAACAAGACTTTTCCAGCGTTCAATGTAATCAATGATAGATTCATCTTTTCTTTGTTTTGTTCCTGCAAGTTCAGGAAGACTTACCATATGTCGAGTGTTGTAGAAACGAGTGAGAAACTCTCGTTCAAGTTAGTCTTAACTGTTAACATTCTCAGTTGTTAGATCAGTGTACCAATCAAACGTAGCCCATCTAAGGGAACGCGCAAATTGTTTCACCATCAGGACGCCGTAGGTACCAGCATTATTGCATGTTTCAATAAAATGAGCAACATACTGTTTTAGGTTGTCTTTCCCATCAAACTGTTGAAACTTCGGGGGTTGGTAGTCTATTGTTATTTGTATCTCGTCAATTCGTCTGGTATATGGCTTTGCATATACTAACGAAGACTAGGAGCTCCTCCATACTGGGCTCGAATGGTATCAACAATCATATGTTGAAGTTGTTGGACAGAGAGTGCAGCAACAGACATTTGAGAAGAATCTTGCATGACATTTTGTGTCATGGCTCGATCATATTGCTTTTGTTTGTGTTGTTGTTGTTGTTATAAAAACTTTGAATTTTTAAGCATTTTACTACCAGACGGACTTGAAGTTTCTTGACTACTTTCTTTTGAAGGTTCTTGCAATTCTAGCCGGTTCATGAGTACAACAATTTGCATTTCTTTACCTTCAAGGTCCTTGGTCAACTTCTTGACTGTAGCAGTTAGTTGTTGAAGATATTCTTCGGATAAAGTGGTTTACGTCACCATCACAGGCATAGACGTATCAAAGAATGCAGAATAATCACCCCACTTCTGTTTAGGAGAAATCTCGAAGTAAGATTCAGTATTCAAGCCTGTGCTAGAGTGTGTGTCGGGCAAAGAATCATCCGTCTGTTTCTCCAAATCGATAGAAGAATGAACAAGTTGTCTTTTTTTGCTTGGAAGAGCCTTCCTTTTGCTTTGCCTAGATTGATGTTCCTTCAGTGGTAAAAGTTGAGATTTACCCGCCTTTGTTTTGGCACGGGTTGTTGGAATTGACTCCTCGACCAGGTCCGCTGACTTGTTGGTGGGAGGAATCACGATGTCTTTAGTTGTCATTGTTATCAGTCTTGTTGACTTGAGAGAAAAGAGGAAGAGAGGGTCCCACCGGGCGTGCCAAAATTTGTAACGACAAAATTTGTGATGTAAATTAGCACAAAATAAGGTCAAATTATAATAGTCAATTTGATTGACTTTAAGTAAAAAAATATAATGTTGACTCTCTTTGGTGTGCTTCTCACGTGCACTATATTCTGATTCTCGGTGAATTTGATGAAGTTGATGAATTTGGTGAAGATGAGAGCCTGATTGATGTATTTCTCACTCTTCAATTGGTGACTTTGATGAAAACGAAAACTAGATCAATGTATCTCCTACTCTTCAATTTGATGATGCTTTTGATGAATATCCTCATTGTTTTTCATTTGGAATGGGTTGAAGATGATTTGGATTTCTTGAAGAAGGACCTTGGTGGTGTGTTTTTCTTCTTGGAGATGAACTTGCAAGGCTTTAAAACTTTAGTGAACTTCGAGCAGAGTTTCGCCGATCTCTCTTTCTCCTTGGATTCTTCTCTTTGTTTCTCCCTTTTGGCCTACCCCAAGACCTCTATTTATAATGGTAGGAGTATCTATCCATATAAGAGTCCTTATTACTCTTATATGAGTTTTAGGTAGTGGACTATCCATAAATTTGTAAGTTTTATGGAATTTAAGTCCAACCCACTGTACCTTTTGAAAGTTTATTTAATTTGGGCCTATGGAATATAAATCTATTTTAATTTAACAAACTTGATTAATTGCATTTGGACTTGTATTATTAAGGTTATAGAATTTAGGTCCAGTTTAATTTAATTTAACAAGTCTTTTTAATTAAATTTGAGATTGTATTATTTAGGTTACAGAATTTAGATCCAACCCAATTTTATTTATGTAATAGATATTAATTTGTTAATTAAATTTTGAATCTGATCAATTTAGACAAAAAAAAAATTAAAATAAATTGGAGTTAAGATCTGTCAAAATCTGATTCGCAAGCTGGGATGATCAAAACCTTTCAATGACATAAAAAAAGGAAGAAAAAAAGGGTACAGCTTTAAAGGCCAACACTCAATCAACTTTCCTCGAAGGAAAAAGTCATAACAAAAGGGTGTCTGAAGACGGAAGCAGAACAATCTGGGACACACTAGTCTACGGGCAGTCATGTAAGGGGTGCATAGCCCATAATTGCAACTGACCTAACTAAGCACCTAATTATTATTATTATTATTTATTTATTATTATTATTGCTTTTGCTTCAATGTTAAATGGAAGAGGGTAAGGTGGATCTATCAAAGCCAGCACATGCAAATAGGGAGGGGGAGTAAAGGGTCAGCAATGATAGGCCCCCCACTTCCCTTACACATACCCACCATCTTGATGATCGCATGAATTCAGTGTCCTTGTATACGCGTGTCCTCACGTTATTGGTTTGGTTTGTACTAAGTTACACTCCTTTTCTTCTCCTTGAAGCCATTCCAGTAACATAAATAATGACCTTTTAATTGATCTCTCATTCTCATTCTCATTCTCACTCCGTCTCTCTCACTTAGTTATCAAACCACCACCACCACCATTCTGTAAATTCGGACCTGGTCACTCCCAAAGTAAAGTGATCACCATGGCTGAGAAGGTATATGCAAATCTCATCAGATTCCCTCTATCAATTAATTAATTTTCCTCCCTTGTTTCTGGTTGTTTTTCTTTTTTGTTGGCTTGTTTGTATGTTCTTCATTTAGATTAGATTTCTCTTTTCTGCAAACACTTGTGTTGGATTAATTGGGTTGGATTATTCTCCTTCCTGTCTGCGTTCTTGTTTTGATGCAACAAACAGGTTACAATAATGGTGCTCAAGGTTGATCTTCAGTGCCCTCACTGCCGCAAGAAGATCAAGAAAATTCTCTGCAAATTCCCTCGTCAGTCTCCACTCTCATCTTTTTTTTTTTCCTGCATGTTGTTGTTATTCAGTTGTGGTCTTGGGGGGGGGGGGGGGGGGGCATATCCATTCACTGGTTTTTTTGAAAATTCTAATTGGAATATCAGCTACACTATTGGATTGACTATCATTAAAAATCGTATTGAATTAAGTCCTTATACCATTGGTCTTGATTTTTTTAATAATTTTTAAAATGTTATCCAGTTTAGGTTCGGCTTAGTATGTTTGTCTTGTCATTTTATGAACAGTGCATTGTGACTTTATGTTTGGATAAGAACTGAGTTTTTTTTTTTTTTTTTGTGTGATGTGAAATTTTTGTGACGAGAGAAATTAGAGACCAAACATATGATGAGAAGCACAACACGGTGACAATCAAGGTGGTATGCTGCAGCCCAGAGAAGATTCGTGACAAATTGTGTTGCAAAGGTGGGAAGACCATCAAGAGCATCGACATCTTACCGCCACCAAAGCCCAAACCACCTGAAAAGCCCAAAGAGCCTGAGAAGCCCAAAGATAAGCCCAAAGGGCCAGAGAAACCCAAAGCGCCCGAGAAACCCAAAGAGCCAGAGAAACCCAAAGCGCCCGAGAAGCCCAAAGAGCCAGAGAAACCCAAAGCGCCCGAGAAGCCCAAAGAACCCGAGAAACCTAAAGAACCCGAAAAACCCAAACCTAACCCGCCACCAAAAGCACATCCACCACCGATGCCTGAACCGGTATCTGCATATCCAATTGGGATATGTTGTGGGCCATGTTATGAAGGTCGAGTTGGGGGACCATGTTATCATGGGTACGGAGTGCCTCCACCACCACCACCGGGACCATGTTATGATAGATATGGGTATTATGGGGGTTATGGTAGGGGTTATTGTGGGAGTCGTGGTGATTGTTTTAGTGACGAAAATCCATCAGCATGCACAATCATGTAATGGGTGGTGCGTGGTCATTGTCATGCCCATCATCATGATCAAGCTTTGGATTCTCTTTGGGAAAAAAGTCCAGACATTATCAATTTTGGGTGGATGTGGGTTTTTCAAAGGTATTGCGGAATCTAAGGAACAATAATTAATAAGGTTGGTAGTCTAACGCTGACGGCTAAATGGTTGTTGACGTTGTGCTTAAATAAGATGTTAGTATGATGCTTGATTGATAAAAATTTTCTTCATTTAATAAATTGTTATTTTTCGAGTGCATCAAACTATCTTCTTTTGTCTCTCTCTCTCTCTCTTACACAAAAGGAATGACAACACTAATTTTTGACAGGATTTAGTAGTATCAATTCTATTCAAACATGTTATGACAACACGAAGAGTGGTATGAAAGTACCTTGAAGAATTTAAACAAGTTTAATTTGATGGTTCAGACCACCGACTTTTGCTTGCATCTTTATCTAAGATATGTTATCAATTTTATCCTAACCAAACTCATAACCATGCGTTTGGTTTGGTGTAACAGAAACCTTTGAATGAATTTGGTATTTTCTGTGATTGTTGCCGGCCATGTCCAACAGTGCCAAACTTACCTTTCAGACATCGTTTTCGGTTTTAATTTGAATGTGATTTATTTTTCAATCCCTTTGTCCTAGTCATATAATATAATACAAAGCGAAATTGAATACGAAAGTTAGATTTCCTTCTTATGTTTTATTTCTTATAGTTGCTTTCCACTAGTACTCTCCTTCCAGAAGATGATTTACAGAGGAAAGGTCAAATATGGTTTTCGTTAAAGAAAATTTGGATCACGTTTGATGATTGTGTTTTACAGGGAATGATACGAGTAGGGTATTGGTGAATCTCAGCTGTCTTTTTTGTCACACCAAACCACCTTCGTTGATAATTTTACAACTAATATGTTTGGGGGAAGGGAAACTTCTTCTTTCCTTCCTTAAACAACAAAAAAGTATTTCCATGTTATATGAAGTTTAAAAAAACAAGTCATGTTTTCCTCTCTTGTTTTTTCTTTTAATTTTACTCCAATTTTTCTTTTACTGAAAAAGAGAATTTATTTTACCCTGCTTTTCCCACTCTTTCTTTTGCAATTTCTCTTCTCTCCCATTCCCTTTGAACCAAACAAACTTAGAAGTTATGCAGTGAGGATGTAAAACGTAACTTACATAATGATAGATTGATGAATAAAGAACAATGTCAAACGTCTCTCAAATAGCATACAAAGTCTCCTTTGCAACAAAAGGTGAAAGTAGGCATGGGAAGAAAATCATTAAAGTGATTAGCTCTACGACATTTTTTCCAAAAAGGAAAAAAAAGGTGAAATCCATAAACAAAAAAATCCCTGGTCTATTTTAATTCAATCTTAAACTAGCATGTTTTGAAGTGTTGGCCCATTGGGTCATCCTCTGAGCTACATTTTTGCGAATATATGGGCCTAATTGAATCGAACATTGAACTGACAGAAAAATTGGGTCAATGATTCACCGAGAGAAGAAAGGAGAAGACCCAACATTTGTGTGTGTAAACAATGTACGACAAAAGCTTTATATGTGTGTATTACTAATTGTGTGTGTGTGTAGCTAGAGAGAGAGAGAGAGGAGGGCAAATAATACTTACACAATTGAGGAGGAATACATTGGCTAAGAAGGAGTTCGGGTGGTGTGGCCTCTGTTCGAGATCTGGGTTTGAGAGAATCAGAGGCGGAGAATACTAAAGACGAAGTGGCTGATATTAAGTTTTGAATCAGTGGGCTTTGGAAATCGTCTAGTTCAATGGTATTGGCCAAAACCGTCCGATTTAGAGAGTTGATTGCATGGACGGTCTTTTCGATGAACGGAATCAATTTAGTGCCCGATTCACCGATTCGACCGATCGGTCTATTTCGGTTCAGATAACACTGATTTTTTGGAAGCTAACACATCTCCTATAATTTATTTGGTTTTAAGTACAAACCCAAAATTTTTTTTAACAAAAAAGACACTTTAGAGTATAAAAGACCGAAACATTCCTATCATCACTGGTAGTGTTGAAAAAACTAGATAAGAAAACCGATTAATTTGAAAATTAAAATTCCTAAATTTTAGAGTTTTTTTTTTATATTAGAACTCTCTCTCTCTCTCTCTCTCTTTATATATATATATATATATATATATAATAAAGTAGCTTAATTTCTTTTTTTTTAGCTTTTCACAGCTTAAATCGCTTGAAGAAACATTTATTCATCAGTCTTAATATGAAATTTCCTCCCCCTCCCCCAATTTTTTGAGCAAGACTTTCATTCTTTCTATAACTCTAAGATTTCTATCTATCTTATAACTCTATCTCTCTATTTCATTATCTGTCTTGAACTTTTTGCGGTTCAGATTGTTTTAAGATTATTGATCAAATGATCGAAATTCCTCCTCTAAATTTTTTTATGGCCCAAAAATTACAAGAATTCTTTCATTTTACTTGATTATCGGTTTGACGTGATTATGATTAGGATTTGAATTGAGTTGAATTTAATTGTAGAGTATAAATTATATATTCTTTCTAAAACTTAACTTTGCTTGAATTTTACAAATATTCAAATTGAAGTTGATTGTAAAAATAATAAAAAATAACTAAATAAATAAAAATTATGGCATCACAATAAACGGGAATAGATAAGAATTAGTTTAAGATAGAAGTGTTAATTGACTTGAACTTAAATTCAATTCTCGATTTGACGTAATTATGATTAAGATTTGAATTGAGCTGAATTTGACTGTCGAGTATAAAGTATAAATTCTTGCTTAAACTTAAAAGGTGGGGTTATTCCCACCCCCTAAATCTCTATTCCCATCCTATACTACATACACCCCTTTTAAAAAGAAAAAGAAAGAAACAAGGAAGAAAGAAAAAAGTAAACTGAAACAAGAAGGAAAAAAAATCAACCAAAGATTAAAGGAACAAACAAACCCGCAAGATGGAAAACCAGACATGAAAAAAAAATATCGAGTACAAACACAAAATCGAACAAGAAAAAAAATAACAAACATAGATGCAAAAATTACTCAAGATAAAAAATAACAAATAATCTGAAAGGATACATATATATACACACATATAAATGTTAAATAAAAAAGTATTAAACTTGACAGAGATATCAAAACATACCGAAAATAATAAAAATTCATACAACAAACAGGAAATCAAATATATAATTAAATTGAAAAGTAATACTAACATGTATTTCATTAGAAAAATTCATATTGAAAAAGTATTTTTGTGAGTGCATGAGATGAAATAGAAAATGAAACCCTAATTATGACAAAATATAAGATGAGTTTACTTATTAAATAGGGTGTATGTAAAATTAGGTGAATTTAGTTATTAATGGAGTTGATATAGAAGAGGCAAACTTAATAGTTTGATAATGAAAAATTAAATGGAGTGGGAATGAAAATTTGTGGAGTGAGAGTAGTCTCATCCAAATTTAAATTTGATTGAATTTTATAAATATTTAAGTTGAAATCAAATAAAAACTGATTTTAATTTCTTAACAAATTTTTTTACCTTTATGAGAATTCACGCGAAACTTTTGAAAGTTTTCCTCACAAAAGTTACATGAACTCACATTTGAAAACATAGTGCAAAGATAATGTTATGAACTTTAAGTAGAAACCTACAGAAAAAAAATAATTATATATATTTTTTGAAATTTGAGATAAAGTTTTTAAAAATGTTAAAATTATGGATGTTTGATCAATAATAATTATATTTTCTCATATTTTTGAATTAATATATTGCAGTAGTTGTAGCGTGACTTTTGTTATATAAATGTTTGATTATATATGTTCTGCGTACAAGTTGAACAATATCAATTTGATTATTGTATTGTTGAAATTGTATTATACATTACTTTTATTTATGAAAAAATATTTACAATTTTTTACGAGTAATATAATACCTTCAGGCATGGATAATTACTAGTATATCTATAATATAAAATAGAGCAGACTTTAATAAGCTCATCTAACGTCTCAAATAGACTTATCCAACGACCACCAACATTCCTCTGAAAATCATTCAAATTTTACCGTACTTTCAGGCACAGGTTAATATATATTTGATATGTAACCAAATTCAAAACTTATATATATAGACAAATCCTAAAAAAAGTTGAAACAGATCTTAAAAGAAAAAAGTAAACAAAATCTGTTATATATGAATCAAGCAAAGACAATTAAGTAATGAGAAAATATTTAAAACTAACTTGTGTATTTAATAACTGAACTTTTAGGTGACATTAAACTTAATAACAAAAAATAAAAGTTATGTACTTAAAGTGAAATAAATTCTCCAAAATATACTCACTACAATTTTTTGTAGAAAGAAATTTGAGGCCCTCTCTAATGTTTGGCCATGAGTATGAAGTAGCAACCAACCTCTTCTTTCTTTCTTTCTTTTTCTTTCAAAACTCAAATTTTCTATGCAAAACTAGAGATGGGAGTACTTATGTTTTTGGTTTAGAATTATCTAGCCACTTTTCTCTTCTTTTTTTTGGCTTATTTTCACATATGTCGTCCCCTAAACATTTGTTGAAAGAGCAATCTATCTCCCTAAACCTCAATTTCTCGAGCCTCTCGAGCCTATCCCTTTGAGTAATCAAAAAATCTAAATTGCAATATAAGAGACAACTCATCTACTTAAAACTAGCCCCAAATTATCAAATATACTTTTTCCTTCTTTACTCATGAATTAACTTTAGAATGTTATTATACTTAATTTATACTCACTACCCATTAGTTCTTGTTCATAAACTTGGCCTTACATCACAGGATCGCACAATTTTTTTTTTTTGAACAAACATGATCACACATTTTAAGAGTGAAGCTTATGAGAACACATAATCATACTTACATCCGCAAATAAAAATACCCAAGCAAGCATTACATGACAACATTAACTTCAACAGGAGCATTAGAAAACAATATTGGGCAAGAAACGTAGTTATGGTCTAGGGGGTCATCTCCGCACCCCCTTAGTTTTTGAGAACGACAATTTTCAACCTCTATTTGAATAGTGCTTCATATCTCCAAATTAGTTTTGAATTTGAGGAGATTTTGGTCCTATCCATCGTTATCATGTTCAAGAGGACTAGGATCCAAGGAAGTGAATGTGAGGGCTTTGGATCACGCTCGAATACAGTCAGGTATTGTTCATTTAGGGAAACTCATGCTTCAATTCCATCACCCACTTTTGTATCCACTAGAAATATGACATTAGACAAAATTGGGGTATTTGTGGTCGGAGTGCATATATACTACCATATGGGTTTTCCCCACTCGAAATCA